CCCCCCCCCCCCCCCCCCCAATATTGCCTGAAGTGGAGAGATTAGCTGCTGCTTGCTGCCCTCCCTTCAGCTTTAGATAACCTTCCTGTCTTTCAAGTTAACCCCAGGGTAGCCAAGAGAGAAAAAGGAGTTGTTGGTACTTGTGCTGTGTCTTACTGTGCTCTTACTCTCCGTTGGGTAGCAGGGTTGAGGCTTCTGCTAGTATATTTATGTTTGGCTTGGGAGGTTAGTTGAATGTATCTCAAGCATAACTGATACAGAAATCTATCCATCTGTAAAATAACCTATATTTATGTAAAAAAAACCCCGACAGCCAAAACCAACAACAACCACCAAAAAAAAAAATAATCCCAAAACAAAACCCCCAAAACTGCAAACCAAAAAACCTGACGTTTCTCAAGAAGACTTGTTGACTGAATTGTGATCTTGTTTATGATCTTGTTTAGTGATCCAAATGTATAAAATTCCTTCTTCTTTATACAGTTATTTTGTTTCCTGGAGTCTCTTTGTAATGTGATGCTTTTGTTTGTTCTTTCCAACAGCTGAAAGAGATAGATGCCAAAAAGATTATCAGAGCAATGTTGTCTTATGTGTGGCCCAAAGACAGACCAGACCTGAGAGCCAGAGTAGCCATATCTCTGGGGTTTTTAGCAAGTGCAAAGGTAAGAACAGGTACTTCGTTGTACTGTGATAGTTACTATTCATCTGGAGTTTGTACAAGGAATAATTTTCTTTTTTATTATTTAAGGGCTTTTACAATCTTCAGATGTCTTTTTTCTGTATGAGGAGCAGTAACAGCTTGGATTTTGTAACTGTGTGTGGATGCATGTGATAGACATATGTGTGGTTGGGGAGGTGATGATGATGACCAGAACTTTTATTTCCCTGGCTCACATTAGTTTTCTCCAGGTTCTTCCATTGCCGTTTAATCATTGACATCACAAGTTATAGGAAATGTGAGTTAAGGGTTGCTTACAGATTTTCTCTTTTTGGTTGGTGCTGTATCTGTCAAACAGGATTTCTTTGAGGTCCTGTATCAATTTTCAGCTCTGAACTTAAGCAGTGTGGTGGTACCTACTCGCAAGTCTTGCCATGCCATGGAAAAGAAGATTTGAGCTTCAGTCTTTTTTTGGTATTTCTCTCTGACATGACAGTGGAATTTCTGTTGTTTCAGGGACTCCTCTGTTGTCCTAATGTGAAAGAAGCTAATTTATTTTTTATATTGAATCATGCTTTTGTTCAAAGGATTTTTCTTGTCGTGTTGTGATTATGAAATGGAGGATTGCTCTTACCGTTACTTCATTGTGTGAAGGGATCTCTTATACTCTTGCCTGCATCAACATTAGTGTTTATTGGTTCTTAGAAGGAAATTGGCTTGCAAAAAAGCTTTCCGCAGATTAATGGAGGATATAATTCAAATTTTGTGCAAACCTTGTAGAAATAGCTCAAAAGAGGAAATGTTAGCTTTGTGCAAAAAATCTTTTGCTTTTGGAAAAAAAAAATTGATTGTGAGTAAATTGAGTGTCATTGAGATGTGTGGCTCAACTGACTTCCTTCAAAATATGGCAATTTTAACCAAACGGAAAGCTAGTATTAGTATCTTGCTGGGATAAGCTAAAGTAGGTACTACTTAGCAAGGACTTTTAGCACTTAAGCTAGTTGCACTAGCAATTTATTAGCATTCAGCGACATTGCCATGTTATGAAAAGAGAGAAGGAACAAAATTCAGCTGTGTAGGTGATAAAGGAAGAGGGCTTGGAAGAGAACTATGCTCATTTATTTGAGCTGAAGAGGAAAGGCCGATCACTTGGTCTGCAGCTCTTTCTCATGAGCAATCTATCAGGTGCTAGCTGGTTCTGTCTACAATAGATATTTTGGTTTGTGCTGCTGTTCAGGACGTTGTTGATAATGCAGGTGACAACATGCAGAATATGGCATGTATCTACAAGTAAATTTCCACCCTTTTGGTATGCTCATGTGAAATACGCAGCAGTGCTTTCGATTACGCTTAAAAACATTCTAGGAAGCTATCTGCTCCAAATGCAGAAGCTAGGAGCATTTTGCCTGTATACTGTACGGTTGTTTTCCCCATAATACTTAACTGATTTATATTCTTGGTTCATTTTGGTTTTGTGATGTATATTTAAGAATACCCCACTTAACAGATGGCTGTGAAAAATCTCCTAACTCATTTATTTTTAAAGCCTGTAATTAATAATGTGGATAATAATCTGAAGGGAATTTCAAAGTAAGTTTGAAGTATTTTCTTCTCTTTCTCTTCTGTTCTTCCCCCCACTTTTCTAATTTGTTGAGTTATATGATGGAGAATGTGAATCCAGAATCTAATCCTGCATGTGGCAGCATTGTACCTTGCTTTTAGGAACTCTGTAAATGTTTCAAGGAGCTTTCTGGGGTGTAACAAAAACCAAATTGATGGCCAGGATTGCCTGACTCTTGCATATAGCTCAGTATTCAGTATAATACAGAGCTGTTATATTTCTACTGGGAGGGAGAGACATTTCCCCTGGTCAGAGCGCCAGATGCTTAATTGCTCTTTGGGGAAGTAACTGGATGTTTGGATCTCTGTTAAGTGTTCCCTTAAATTTCCTACTTCAGATTCTGTACAAGGCAGCCTGGAAGCCCTAATGTCCAAAGCAGATTTCCAGAAGGAGAGAGGAGAAAACCTCTTGAGCTTTGCCCAGGTTACCTGTTAAAGCAGAAGCGTTTTGTGAGAGAGTTTGTTTTGGAAAACTAGGATTTCACTGGGAAAACACACAACAAGGTCTCTGCAGAATATGTATTATGACTGACTGGAGTGAAAAATTACACTCATGTCTTCTAGCTATCCTTTCCTAACGTTCTTGGTTTTGTTCTGTTTCTGATAGACCGCACAAGCAGTTTGCTAAAGTTTCTCTGCTGTGCAGTTGTGTCAGCACAAGAATGCCAGCGTATCTTTCTCCTCACTGCAGTCCTGGCCCAATTTCTTTGTTCGCTACAAACCAGTCTGAATCAGAAGGATTTGCATCCTTGTAACAGATTTTGCCTAAAGGCTGCTTGTTCTTACGGGTTTTGCACAGAGAACTGTATGGTCACAATGGCTACTGGTCACCCTCCCGCATAAGAAATAATTTTTTTTAAGCCTTTTGGCCAGTTCTGTCTGAGTTTGTCAAAAGAGTTTGTTGAGGTTTTATACCTCTATATTTCTAAAGAAGTTTCCATTTAGAAGAACGGATTCAGATGGTGACTCTGAGTCAGAAGCTGTAGGGAACCTTTGATTTTTGTTGCAAGAAAACTCCAGAGAAGCCACAGAGGAGAGGTAGGCTGTGAAATCCTTAGGCACAGGAAAAACTTTAGGAGTTCATGCCCAGTTTGATTTGGGCTGGCTTACCCACAAAACACTAAGAAGCTGGAGATTATACCTCCTTGTCCTGCTGCTTGAGAAATAATTTGTCTTATTTCTTATTTCTCTTTCAGTCTTCCAGTTCAGTAAAGTTCAATTGCAAAACAAAAGCCAGTTTGGGTGCAGCTACTGAAGAGCCTGCAGTTACAATCTGTCTTTACTCCTTTTGTGGGGCTCAGTTGCCTGTCATTGGACAAATTATTGTGATTTTTGGTTCCTTTTTGTCTACACATAACTGCTAGTAGTATTGTTAGCCTTCAAAGTGAGCTGTTTTTATGGCTTTTTATGACTGGGAGTCTGACAGGATGGAGTCTGCTCTAGGGCTAGTAAGGTCTTTTTTTTCCTTGGAAGATTTGTTGTATTATGACACACTTTAAATTTTTATCTTAAATATTTATAGCCTATCTAGACGTGTGCGATCTGAAGGATGCAGCAGGAAGATAGGTGAGAGGAGTACACAAGGCATTATCTGTTTTCAGACACATAGATTAGCCTGTTCAGGTTTTATGTATCTCTTCTTTCTTTTTCCACATTCCCTCTCCCGTTTCCTGTCTTCTTGAGTGGGGTATGTATAGTGAATGCTTCTTTACTGTTTTCTTCACTTTTTCTTCTGTGGCACAAGAAGAAAAAGTGCTCAGGCTTCTGAGAAGCTGGATTAAACACATGAATATGACAAAATCGCTTGTCACCTCCATTAGCCTGTAATGATTTTTTGGCCTCTTGGTCACAGACTGAGCATGTGGTGTTCGTGAGCCGGAGAAATCATTCGGACTATCTGCATTTCTATGGATCTATCTGCTAATTCTGTAAGTTTCAGGAGAAGAAATTGTGTGGCTAAGGAGGGAAGACAGAAGTGTCGTGTTTGTAAATTTTGTCTGCATGCAAAGATAACTGTACCTGTCTGATCAGTTAAGCATCTAGGTATGATCTTGGTGTTTGAGCCCTTTTTGTAGGCTCAGGTGGAATTAGATAATTGCAATCAACCTGTAGAATCTGTTATCTTTTTGAGAAGTTTCAGATGAAAAGTATCTTTAATTTTTTTTTCCCCTTATTAGCAAAAGCACGTTTCAGGTCATCATTAAATTCGAAGGTGGCACGAAGCTTCTTCCCTCTTTTGGACTACGTTTTATAGCTCCTGTAGCAGCCTTACCTCCATAAGGGATAGAGTTTTTATTTCCACAAATGGAGTTGTTGGATGTGTACATTTATATTGGTCCAGAGATAAATTCAGTCATCTTCATGTCAACGTTTCTCATTGAATTATTGGCAGAAGAAGAGTTCACTGTAGACCAGTTTTATCGTGTTGGGGCTCAGCCTGTCACTCATTCATCATCTTTATTAAACAAGAAATACTGGGAAGAGCAAAATGAAAGATAAGACTGTTTGCCTTAAAAGTAGTGTAGTCCCATGAGGGACTAGAGATGATGCATTGTCAGCTTAAAACAGTGCAGTCATTTAAAAAAATGTTTAAACTCATTTAAGCATGATGCATTGCAGGATAACGTGCTGTTAAATGTGGGCAATTGAGTTGGGATGACTTCATGGGTGCTGTATTTGCTTTCCAATAAATTCAGGTGGGGATAAGCTATTAATTCAAAATTATAAATAGAAAATTTACAAATTTATATTGAAAGGGTGTTTTTAACGGGAATTGTTATCAAGCTTTCAGGCATTAGGAAGAGGAGGGAAACCTACCTAGATCCATTGTGTAAGACAATTGTTTTGCAGGGTAGCTTGTCATACCATACCTGGGTGTGCTTAAAGATTTTTCTTCTGTGCCAGCAAATCCAGGCTGCCGAAGAGATAGCTGTAAGTTTATGTGGAAGGCAGTAATGTTGCTTCCATTAATGTGAACGTGATCTCATTGACGTAACAAACTGAGAAGAAAAGGCCTGTTTCCAATAATGGCCTCTCATCTCTCTTGCTATAAACTTTGTAAGATTAACTTTTTTTTTCTTCTTTTTTTAAAATTACTGGAAAGCAAACTGTCTTGATTGCTAATGAAATGCAATGCCATGCTGCTTTGTTCTTATTCAAGCTATACTCTCCAGGAGTCAGAACAACTATAACCTGAGACCAGGCTTTAAATTTCATTTAAAACTCTATTGGGTAGAATTATATTGATGTAAAAGAAGACATTTCTGCAAAATTGTAGGCTGTTACAGGTTAAAATAATTGCAAGTGGAGAACTGCAGTTTAAAGAATACATCTCTTTTCTTTAAATGGACTTTAAGAAATATCTGTAGTTCTATTTCTAAACTACCTGTAGCGTAGCAGAGTCTACTGAAGAGTAAAATTCCCGCAGAGGGATTTGTGAGAATCTGCAGCAAATCAAGACAATCTGCATTACAATACTCTTATTTCTACTGAGCAGTCTCTCCGAGGAAATCCTGCAGTTTGTCATGTTGGTCATCACTGTAACACGGATGGTAGTATATTCATCTTTATTAAGAACAAAATGCCACCCAAAAATTCAGTTTCCGTAATTTTGAAGGGAAAGTAGGGGGTTTGATTGTACCAGGCTAGGGAGGAGGTTGTTAAATATCAGTATTCTAAAGATTCAAATTCTTTGTTAATGCCTTTTCAGTTCTTTGTGGGGCTTTATGCTTAAGGTTTAAGCATGTAATGGCAGTAACCTCTTCATCTGCGCTGTATAATTGAAGTTACCAGACCTTATTGTATACTGCTGCTTTGATGGTATTTGTTGGCTTTCTGCAGATAATGCTAACCTTGAGTCTTTTTTTTTTAATGGAGATTTCCCCAATTCCAGTCTATTAAAAGGGGAGTCATTGGTGAACAGCTCTCAGGCTTGCACTGACAAATGTATTTGTATGACGAATGTATTGTAAATTCCAGACGAATGTATTTGAAGTGGGACCTGATCTTTCAGCCGTTTTCTTTTTTTGGTCACAAACTAACCAGTAATAATCTCACCTAGATGCTCTCAAATCTCATCTGCCTCCTCTTAGGAGTTGTCAAGATTTGGTAGTCGTCTTTCTTTCTGTTTTTTTTCTGTTTTCTGTTTTTTTCTGTTTTTTCTTTCCTGCTTAGTGTATTTCATAGGGGAGACCCAGGAGGGAATTGGATAAAATGCATTCCTTCCTCATGTGCATTTAAAACTTTTGCCTAAAACAGTGTTTAAAAAAAAATAGAACAGATTCAAAAAATGAAGTTATGAAAGACTTTACCACTCTTTTCACTTGAAACCTAGTTTTATCCGGTTAATTTACAGTTTTTTCACTGGGCTTTCAGCTCTGACAGATGTCCCTGAATACAGTTGAGATCTAAGTGGGTATACAAAACATTTGGTGGAGAGTGCTGAAATATCTTTGTAAAGTATTTTAACATCTGCCATGATTATAAGATTGTAGGTCTTAACGTATTTGTTCAACTGCTAAAAAACTTGTATACTTTATTTTCAAATCTTCACAGTTAGAAGCAGTTTGAATTAATGAAGTTTAACAGTAAATTTTTTTTCTGATTGGTATGAGTGAGCGATGTAGCAATGGAGCATTAAGGAGACTTAGCAATTTTCTATTTTAAGATTTTCAGTATTTTCTTATGCTACAATTGTGCAACTAAAAAAATCCTAAAGTTGGTCTATTTATGTATCTAGCTGTCTAGCTTTTCATGTGCAGAGGTGACACCACTGTTAGAGGAGATGCATTTGGGTCTTGGAGCTCTTTACAAATATATCTGGTGACACACTATATGTTCGGTTGTAAATATGGCTTCAGTATTTGGTTTGAAAACTCATATTGGTAAAGTAATTTGTAGTGTCTTGTAGACTGTACAGAAAGTTTCATGCTGCTGTTGCAAACGATAGGGTTAATGTAGATATTAAGCTAACGTTTATATTGCAAATGGGAAGTATTATTTAAATATTAAGGTAGAATTAACAGTCGGAAGATACAAAGGATAGGTAACTTCTTTTCTTTGACTTCACTAGAGCTTCAGTTTGATACATCTCAATTGACCTGGTGATAGCAATATGTGGGCAAGTTGGTTGTTTTGTAGTCCTAGTTCTTCATACTGCGCATTGCCAGTATCACAAAGAGCAAACAACCAGAATGTTGATGTAATTTAGTAGCATTGTGAGTGTGCATCAGGCAGCATCTGCTACTTGATTCATTTCCTAGTCCTGCCATTGCTGTACTGAGTGCTCTACCTCAGTTAAGTGCCTTTGCAGTGTGTGGTTTGTTTAGGATAGAAATTGATATTTAAAAGGAGCCAGTGAGAGAGACAAACTAACCCCGCAGTCCTGGGAGTAAGGACTCGATAGTATGGAGAATATTGTGCTTGAAGTTGAGAGCCATCTCACCCACACTAAGTGGTCAAGAACTAAATATAACAGCACAGCAATTTCAGAAAAAATAGTCATGCTATATAGATCTATGTTTTAATGCATATGGACTAATCGGTGTTCTCATGCTTTTAGGCCATGAATATATTGGTTCCCTTCATGTTTAAATATGCAGTAGACAACCTCAACCAGGCATCTGGAAACATACTCAACCTTGGTGATGCACCAAATACAGTGGCAACGGTGGCAACTGCTGTTCTCATTGGCTGTAAGTGGTATTCCCAAATCTGTTGGGAAGTGTTAACGTCCCTCAGTGAGGTATTGGGGTAGCGGAGCTTCGGCCCTTTGCGGCGCTAAGCATCTAGGATGGTTATTTCGTAGTTACTTCTGTGTTGATGTCTGTTTCTGATGTTCTGTGACCTTGCTTCTAGTAGTCCAATTTTTAAAAAATGAAATAATGCTTATAGAAATGATTTTTGATTATAAATCTACCCTTTCTTATAACCAGCTGCCAAAGAAACTGATTTAAAATGTGTGCACAATGATTTATAAATGAAAAATAGCATAAAATTTTGGACCAATTAAGTATAAATTACCTTTGAACTGAAATGTTGAAAATATGTAAAGAATGAGTCTAATGTAATTTTGTGCATGAAGGGAAGTTGGAAATGTAATTATTTTCATTTCGTAAACTTTTTCATCTTTTTTTTTAGATGGTATCTCAAGAGCTGGGGCAGCATTATTTAATGAAGCTAGAAATGCAGTATTTGGGAAAGTAGCTCAAAATTCAATCAGAAGGATAGCAAAAAACGTTTTCCTGCATCTTCATAACCTGGATTTGGCGTTCCATCTGAGTAGGCAAACTGGAGCTCTGTCAAAAACCATCGACAGAGGAACGAGAGGCATCAGTTTTGTTCTTAGCGCTTTAGTATTTAATCTGGGACCTACCATGTTTGAAGTGGCACTAGTCAGTGGAATTCTAGTAAGTGTCCTTTATTCGTGAGTTGGAATTGTCGCATTTAGGAATAATAATACATTGATTTTCTTTTACCAAAGTCTACTGAGCGTTAATAATTGAATTTACTAGGTGGTTATGAAACCAACTACTGTAAAGGAGAGCAATCTATAATTTTCAAATATTAGTTACTTTAAATTCACTTATTTGAAATTATTTTCACATTTAACACCTGTCTTCAGCCAGTGATACGTATGTGGATAGTTTTTAATGTTTTTCTTCAGAATTGTTGAAAAAAATGAAATCAGAAAAATAAACTGTGCACACAAGCATCAAATATATCTGGACCAGTACTGAGGAAGCAGAATATAAATGTCCAGGAATGTTGTGTCTTAGTGTGTTGAGGATAGAGGAGGGAGTGGTTATTGGCTCTCTTCTGAATACTGGTCCTTTCTTATCCAGAACTTAGACGTGAGAATTATCTTTTGGAAAATAGTCTTCTCCTCCTTGCAGGCTTTAAGCTTAATAAGAGTTTAAAATCGAGCTTATAAACCACACTTACTGTCTTTGAAATCAGGGTCTTTGGATATTTATATGCTAAAATCTAAGTCTCTACTATGTAGCTTAGGCTAAATTAAAAGCAAGTCTCTTGTTTTTTCTTCTTTTTAGAAGGACTTAATCAAATTTGAATGTAACAACATGAGTTAAACCCCCTGTTGATATTGGGTTAAAGTTTATAACCTTTGGAAGCTGCAAATCAAGCTGGCTGTCAGCTAACCTGCCATGACACTTTAATTTTTCTTCTTACGGCTTTTCTCTCCTGATGTACCCTGAAGTAGAGAAAACGCGTCATAAATTGTTTTGCAAGGCCATTTATTTCTTCTGCAGTCTTCAGCTTTCTTTCAAAAGCCACCTAAAAAGCATGTAAACACATACTTACTTGTGCTAACAGCACAAATATCAGCAGCATCTATGTTTTATAATGTCAAAAACAACTTGCCAGTGTTATGCTAGCTCTTGGGTATCACATCCTACCTTTTTATCTACACCCTCTCCTTGCTACTTTCCTTTTGAGTTTATGCCTGTATTTAGTCTGAAGCTGTTCAGAGCAGGGAGGCACCTTCAGAGTTCTTGTCTCAGGGTAAGCTGTCATCATTTTGAGACAACAGTGACATTTTGAAAATCATGATGACTTTTTTCTTTTCTTTTAAATACTCTAGTATTACAAATGTGGTGCAGAGTTTGCTTTAGTAACCCTGGGGACGCTCGGAGCCTATGCAGCATTCACGATAGGAATTACACAGTGGAGGTAAGGCATGCCCTCAGATTCATCAGGGTGCTTAGAGTCGTCTTGGCCTGAACTCTTGACTGTATTAAGCCTTCATTTTGCAGGACGAAGTTTCGAATAGAAATGAACAAAGCAGATAATGATGCGGGTAATGCTGCAATTGACTCGCTACTGAATTACGAGACTGTGAAGGTAAGACCAGTCTTTACTACTAGGCTCTTTGTCTTCCTTCTGTCAGCCTGAGCAAAGTGAGTCATAAGATTCATCTTTTATAGGGCTGCATGTCTGGAGCAGTCGCCTATTTTTTAAAACATTTTTCATGTGAAGAGTACTACATGATACTGACAGAATAGCATGAAAGTTGTTAGTGCAACTTGAAAAAATCTATTTGCTAATAAAGAGTGAGAAGTTTCTTTCATGACTGAATTGCCTTGACCATCAAGTTCTGCAAAATGTTAACTTGGAGTCTGGATGAAGCTTCTCTTCACTTGTTTACAAAATTGTCTTCTGAATGTTAGTCTGCAACATACTGTCTTCTCAAATGATCATGTGTACTGTTCCCGTTACCTGTTGTAGTTTGTCGCGCTCTGTGGCAATGTTACCTCACATCTCTTACTTTTGTGTATATCGTAGTATTTCAATAATGAAAAATACGAAGCCCAACGATACGATGGATTCTTGAAGACATATGAAAATGCCTCCCTGAAGACTACCTCTACTTTAGCTCTCCTGAATTTTGGACAGAGCGCTATATTTAGTGTTGGCTTAACAGCCATCATGGTGCTTGCCAGCCAGGGCATTGTTGCAGGTAACTCATCTGTCTATAAGCTAAAAATGACTCTCCTTTACCTTAATTCATCCATAACAGAAGTGTTAATTTTAGTGAACTTATGGTTGATGTGATGGTTCATTTTGGGGGAGTTTTTGCTTGAGATTTTTGGGTATTTCTATTTCTGTGGACCTTCTACAAAGATCCTTCCTTTCTGTCCTGCTTCCTTCCCATGTTGGCAAGATTCTGAACTTTTCCCCAGCATGTATATACCCCTGCGCTGTCTCCAGTAGTTTTATTACCAGTGTCCGTCACTTTCCTTAGACTACCAAGGGCACATTGTTAAAAGAATTGTTTCCGTATGTTGGAGTTTTTATCTATATTTGTCTAATTTACTACATAAAGCTGGCCTATTTAGGAGGACACAGTACAAGCTGAATGCAGCGTCAGGATGAGGCTCAGCTAAAGCATGGTGATTTTAGAGTAAAAATAATGACACTTTAAACGCTGCTAGCATCCAGCTGTGTTTGAGGGCTAGACCTTTCTATCATGTTGTCCTTCTGGCATCTGCTTTGCTCTTTTTAAGAGATGCAGGACAGGAAAGAGATACAATGTGAACAGATTAGTCAGTAGGTGCAGTTTATGGCTGTCCTTAAGAAGATTTAGAATAGCCTTTAAGCAGGATGGTAGAAATACAGCTTTAAATCATCTTTCTGGACCTGTTTCAGCTGAACTGGCCAGACACTTACCTTTAGCTAGTGTGTCATCTTGAGTTTTCCCTTGATCAGCGTATTTGATATTATGATGCCCAGAGGTTCTCACTGTATGTTTTAGCAGCTCTGTTGTATAGAGTATGAAGGTCCTCACTCTTCATCATGACAACTTTGATAATTTGGATTTGTCTGTAATTGTACTTACGATTGTCTTTCCTGTTCTTGCTTTCATATATTAGTTCCTCCCCTTCTAAATTATTTAAGCCCCTTTATGTTTCTCTCAGTGGAATTTACAATCTGATGTTTTCCATTGATTTCTTGATATGCTGCTTGTCGTCTTTTCCAGGTGCTATTACATCTCTTTTTTTTTAAAGTGAAATCCATGCAAATGTCACTTATTTCAGGCACCTTCCTATACAAAATCTGATCTTCTGGGAATACATTTTGTTTACTATTCAAACATCTGGGTTTAGAAATGGGATAAAAGAAACTAGACTTGATTGACTTGATTTTGTTTTTTGTTTTTTTAAATCTTTTGGTGCTTCCTAACAAGACAACGCTTCAAGTCTCTTTATTCTCTCTCATCCATTTTGTCTTAAGGCAGCCTTTCTGTCGGAGATCTAGTAATGGTGAATGGATTGCTGTTCCAGCTTTCTCTTCCCCTAAACTTCCTGGGAACAGTATACCGAGAGACAAGACAAGCGCTTATAGACATGAATACCTTGTTTACGCTTCTCAGTGTAGATACCAAAATTAAAGTAAGTAGTAGCTTTTATTATCCTAAAGCATCTGGCTATTTAAGAGGCCTGTTTTCTGGCAGTACCATCGTTTCACCCTGTTTATTACCTTCTGGGCTTAATTTCTGTTCAAGGAAGATGTTGTGTAAGGATGCTGTTCTGCCTTTTCTTTAAGTGGAGTTAGTGTAATCGCAGCTGCTTTTTTTCTTGCAGAACCTTTCAGTGACAGCAACAGTTGCTTCATGGAAGCTGTGTTTGTATTGAGATTTTTTTATCTAAGTATTCATGCCTTGTGCTTGAATTTTTATTTGTAATTAATGATGCAGAATTTATTACTGCAAAAGAAGTTGTGAAGCATAGTGTTTACAGCAGAAATTTTTACCTTCTTTGAGGAAAAGGAGGAACAAACCACTTTCACTTGTGTGGTGGATTATAATTATTTTCAACACGTCCAAGCTGGAGTGTCTGTTTGCCTTTTTCTGAGCTAGGAAATGGACTGTTCAGCTTGTTGAACTGCTTGAGATACTTTCTGGGCAGCATATAAAGTGGCACTCTTCTTTTAATAGGACAAAGAGCTGGCTCCACCCCTGCAGATCACACCACAGACTGCTGCCATTGCCTTTGATAATGTGCATTTTGAATACCTTGAGGGGCAGAAAGTCCTTGCTGGAGTGTCTTTTGAAGTCCCTGCAGGAAAGAAAGTGGCCATTGTTGGAGGTAGTGGGTCAGGGTGGGTAAATGGACTAAATATGCCAATCAATGATGCAGAATTTTGTTTCTCGAATGTGATTGTTCTTGTGTTTTGCTTTTTAGTATGTTTGTTTGTGACATCAGTTCTGTTTGGAGATTGTAAATGGCAAACCAGGAACGTAACATTAGCTTCAATTATTTTCAATTTCAGGAAAAGCACAATTGTGAGATTATTATTTCGTTTCTATGAACCTCAGAAAGGAAATATTTATGTTGCTGGACAGAACATACAAGATGTCAGTTTGGAAAGTCTGAGAAAGGCAATAGGAGTTGTACCTCAGGTATGCCACGTCTCACTCTCCCCAAATAGCCTATCTCAATAGTAATTCTCAGTATTCGGACACTGTGGTTCACTGAAGGCCAATCCCGATGCAGTGGGATTCTCTAGTTCCTTTGAAAGTCACCACACTGCTTTTTTTGTTTTCCCCCAGGAAATACTATGTTTTTATGTGCATCATCATACAGATCCAATTTCTGAAATGTGTTTAAGCCTCTTCATGAGAAACTGCCTCCAGCTTTAAATGATTTAGCTTTATAGTTGATTACCACCCATAGTGAGTTAGCAAAGTGGTAAAAGTATGCATGACATACATTTTGTGTCCTAAATATATATATATTAATCCCCTTTTTGGGAAAAGAAATTTCCCCAAATACTTGTACCTTCAGGCTTTGTAGAAAAATATAAGCTATTCTGTATTCATTTCTTTCGTGGACTGGGGACAGTTTTAAAACTATTGTTCATGGTTTCTTGTTTAAAATATTCTTTCCATAACTGTAGGATGCTGTTCTCTTCCATAATACTATCTATTACAATCTGCTCTATGGCAATATCGATGCAACACCAGAAGAGGTGTATGCAGTAGCAAAGCTGGCGGGAATCCACGATGCTATTCTTCGAATGCCAGATGGTTACAACACTCAGGTTGGTGAACGAGGACTCAAGCTCTCTGGTAGGTTCTTAAGTGCACAAGTTCTTTGTGTCCCTTTTGCTACCTCAAAGTCCAATGCATGGTTTATTCCTCAGTCGGACTTGCTTTTAGCTTACTTATGTTCTAACATAACTGTAAGGCTAAATATTAATACAAAGATCTGTAGTTTAAGGTAGCTGTAGCCTACAAGATGTTTAAAGGAATGTATTTTCGGGGGATAGTATTGAATGAGTTGATACGTAACCACGTAGATGTGTTTAAAAATGACGTTTCTCGTAATCTATTTGGGCAGTGGAACGCGTGTGAATAGAATTGGGAACTTTGCGATAGGCTTATATATAATGCATAGACCTTCCAAATTTGAGTTCTTAAATCTAAACTTTTAACACCTGAAAAGTAGGTGCTGGTTTGTTTTTGCTGTTGATAGTAAGGCAATGGGATATGGTGTTGCAGCAAAGCCATTTTGAACCTTGCTGAAATGAAAGGGCCTTCATGTCTTACGTGTTTCTTACCTGTGAACTGTGTAAGACGCAACATGAAAATAGTGTCTGCATATCTGCAAGCTATGGATTTATATTACACAGCCTTGGTACCGAAACAAAAAAAGCATGAGTTTAGTTCTCAAAGTCCCTCTGTATTTGGGTATAAAAATCTCTAAAACCTAAGTGTAAATTTATGGCAGTACAGTAGCATGGATAACGAGCCTGAGAATGAGATGATCTTTAAGGTCCTTTCCAGGTCAGCCTATGAAAACAGGCATAAGGAATTCTTAATTGCAGTGAGAACTTTATGAATTTAAATAGTGAAGTAAGCATTTAGTGCAGTTCTTACTGGTCTCAATGATTGATTCATCAAGAGTAAATAATGAAAAACAGGCTGGTTTAGCTTTTTCAAGTAGAATCCATTGTGGTGTTTTCTAATAGATGTGTAACATCCCAAAGCCCTGACTTTGTGAACGAAATGATTAACATGCTGCTGTCCCGAATATGAATCAAGTCGATATGTTACAAATGTAAGGAGAGACCTTGGATTTTGTTGTTGTCGTATGTCTTTCAACGTGGATATTGTCAAGCTGTGAGTTTTGAACATGCTTTAAAGGAGAGAGAGAGAGAGTATATTAAAATAGACTGAGTAAATTGTACAATTCTAATTGCTACTGAGTTCTGCCAAAGACAGTTTAAAATTTGAACTGCAGCATTATTATCAGCCTTTTAAATGGTTTATTAAAGCATGTACTCTCCTGATAGGAATGGAACTTAAACAATAACATAATGGTATTAAAAGGAATGTTTTGAAGTCTTGAATAAAACAAAGGAGGACAGGTGCACAAATGTGAAATGTTTGCATTGCATACCAAATGTTTAGCAGATTTTTAAGTTCTCAAATGCATCTGTTTTCCTGTCTGTAAAAGTTGTCCGAAGTTATTCTTGGGTAGATGTTGGCTGTAAGAATTGTGAAGGAATGAAACTAGTCTGAAACTTGGTTACGTTAGAAACCAACAGGCAGTAGATTGCATGATGAAGGTAGTTTTCAGTACCATGTTAATTGTGTTCTTTAATGAAATATAATATATAATGATGTATATAAAAAAGGGGGAAAAAAGAAAATTTAAAAAATTAAAAGAAAATTAAAAAAAACCCCAACCCCCCAAAACAGTCACTTCTGCTGTTGAATTTAGAATATCATGATTGTAACTTCATCCTTTTTTTTTTTTCTCCCCTGTTCCCCCTGCTTCAGGAGGAGAAAAGCAAAGAGTTGCAATTGCCAGAGCAATGTTAAAGGAGCCACTTATTTTTCTCTATGATGAAGCCACATCATCTTTAGATTCAATTACAGAAGAGGTAAATTGGGATTAAAAAAATATAAAACTTAAGTGGTGTAATGATGTGTGATTCTGATGCTTTTTCCTTGTTCTTTTCCTCTTGGAAAGAATTCTGTTCTTTTTGCCAGGTTGCTATCACGTGTTTTCCTGGTATTATTATGAAGAGATCCTATGGCTAAGCCCTTTTCCGAAAGGCCTGAGCAGAGATACTGAGTCTCTGTCTACCGTGAGACATAGTGGAGTATCAACTCTGTCTCTGGGTACATTTTCTGTTTTACGCTCTTGGGATCCCATTCACCATTAAATGTTTGTCTCTTGAAGCTGTTGCAAATATGTCATGTGGCCATGAAGTGTGAATTTTTCCAGTCCACTTTAAAAGATGTTTAGATGACATCTAGCATTCATTAAAAATATCTTAAATTCTTGTGACATCATGCAAAACAGAAAACCTCTTGTTTGTTGTGCAGCATCTTTCTGGTATGCAAATCAGGTAGGTGTAACCTGCAGTGCTGGTGTTAATTTGTATTCATTTCACAGGAAGGGCTGTGAAACATCAGAGCGTTGTGACATAGATGTCATGACACTACCACAGTAACTGCATCAGGCTTCATAACTACGTCTTTGGTTAAACACAAAACTCTCGGCACCAGCAGTAATTTCGCAAACTAATGTCATCAAAAACTAGAGCTAGAGTTGTGTTTGTGTTCACTTATGCAGATTATTGAGCGAATTTATTGACCTGTAATCGCTAAATTACTTTCATTTTCTGGATACAAAGAAATCAGAGTACAAATTGTATGTCTATATAGCACAGCATTCAAATATAGTACAGCTTCCTCGTTGGATCAGAAATGTTCATTACACGCAATTCTACAGAACACTACTTGGATTCTTTCTTTGATTTTGCTGTATTTATTGCAGGAATCATAAGCAAAGCTGAAAGTTTCACAGCAGAACTGCACTTTAAAGACAGCAAATGAAAATGAGTCCTTTCCACAAAAGTGTGTCTGGTAATAGAAATGTTTTCTGACAAAGGCAAGCGTTTTTCAGGAAAATAAAGCGGACGCTTCACTTACTGTAGTGAGGGCACCAATTCCCAGTTAATGCTGCTTGCATTTGAGTGCAGGTTGGGAAGGTGGAAGACTGCTCACAAAGGGAGCAGTGGATAGATAGATGATTCCCAGGATTGCTTTACATTTATGTTCCACACTGGCGTGATATTGAAAGGGATTTTTTTTCTTAACTTTCATTGATTGGCAAGTATTATGATGATGATGATTTGTTGTTTTCATGTGCCTTTACTGCTGTTTACATTGCTTTTGTAGCAGGGCTGCACAAGGAAGTTTTTCCTGAAATCAACTAATGCTTCTTTTCCTTTGTCCCTTGGGATATCTGCATTTTTCTGTGAATAAAGGGGGTTTTGCAGTTGGAGGACTTTATCAGAGCCACAGATGTTTCATGCTTGGGATTCTTCTGTTTCTTCTGTGGGTACTCATAGCTGTTTCATATTGTAAAGCTGTAGCAATACTGGAGATGCTTCTCAAAACTTACTTAGAGTAATTTGCATATTTCCAGAAACCATTTTCTTTCTCTTAATACCACCTAGGAGTAAGAGTTTGCCTCTGTTTTAATCTTGCAGAATATTCTCAGTGCCATGAGGGACATGGTGAAACACCGAACATCAATTTTCATTGCTCACAGGTTGTCAACAGTAGTTGATGCAGATGAAATCATTGTGCTGGATCAGGTGAGGTGATGATCACCCTGCGATGTGTCATTTTCACATAATGTCAGCGTTTGTTTTAGAGACTCCGTGTGTCTGTTTGGAAATATTATACTCCCACCAAGGCACTGAAAGCTCTTTCTTTGGAAATGAGCCATGTTAAAAAATTCTAGCCAAAGCTTTGCTTTTTATATATTTCTCTTCTTTGCAACTAACAGTTTATCAGTTGCAGAAACTTGCATGTGCAACTCTTGTATGTTGCATTTTTACTTCATTTGTATAGTTCATTTAATTACATGTTCTTTATATGGGTTATACTCTGGGGACTGGCTTAATTTTGCATGTTTTTAATCTAATTTATTACATGCTTCTGTCAGATTAGGTTTCCTAATGTGTTCCCCCAATTTACGCTTCATTCTCATTATTCAGTGAGTGTCTATTTTTCACATACATCCATTGTTTTTCAGTGGCAAGAGAGAGGACAGCATGTTCTGTTTCCATGCAGATAAAGCTGTTGTAGGATTGTTCAATCTAATTATGTTATAAATCTGAACACCGTTCTCTATTGTACCTGTAGAAAACTGTGATTATTCCCTTTCTGTATGCTTCTCTAAGAGAAAAAGAAGGAAAAGTTTCAACATTTGATCTACTAATATCACTATTCAGCTGTTACCTCATAGCCAGTCTGTCCTATGTCCATTTTCTTCCCTATTCCCCATATCTAGCTATAGATTTAAAATAAACAATGTCCTTATTATAGCTTCATAGTTACTCTTTTAACCGATAATGCTGAAAATGTAGCGCTCTAATCTGCTGATAATAGATGTTAAATTTATCTCTGCATTCAATTTTTCAGTTGCTATTTATATGCTTGTGATCATAGATGTATTTAGTGACTAAAATATGCATATCTAAAAGAAAATAAATTATTCTGACAGTACGTTAAATTATTTCATAGGGAATTAGAACAAAATCTTATGAAATGGTGACATTCATGTCTACCTTTGCTATACAAATCTTAGCTTCATATGAATCTCAAAATGAAGTAGTGGAATAAATCACTCATAACTGCTCTGTGGAGTTTTTATTTGGTTTTTGATCTACTTGTTTTTTCCGCTTTTGCTGAAAAACCATTTCCTAAGGTGTATCCTTTATGTAACTGCATGTTAAAACATCTTGCAAATGTTTTTTAACATGTTATAAGGCAATCTGCGACTTTTTGTTTTCAATGGAAGTTTTCACAGCTTCCTAAGAGTGTGTTTTGTGTTACAGTGTAACTGTTAAATTAAAAATAAAAGCACAACCTAAAACTGTAAAGCAGCTAGGGTGCTCGCTTTCATGAATGATGTTAGTGTAATGAAGATTGTGAATGAGGAAGGCGGCAGCGTGCGTCGCGCTTAGTGCCCGACTGCTTCATGAGGCATCATTGACGTTTGCTCAGCAGAAAGTTGCCTCTTGTTGTCCCAGCTTGATTGATGAGCACGGTGTTAGCAGCCAGATAAATAAGGCTCAGTAGTGAAGATGAGACGAGGTGATTGTGACTGGTTTTGCTTAGCAGTGGAAATCCAGCATCACAATTTCAGCACCTTTGCCTAGGTAAAATCCGAATAATTCTTGAGTGAAGAAACAAACTTTGTATTAATGATATTGATCTTAATGCTGTGAAGCCGAACAGAGAAGTTACATTTTTTATGATTGTTCGAGAGTATTAAAAACGGCCATAATTCAAAGGCCTTGTCTCTACTATAATAAACTCTCTAAATTAACCACTTAAAGTTTCTAAATTCTGCAGTTATGTTGGTCAAGTGTGTATTTGGTCCGATTCCACCAGCATGACTAGTAATAGAAGTGACAAGACCCAATTTTTTTCCCAGCATGTTCATCAGCAGCTGTCACAAGGAGGTAGATTTAATTGTAGATCAGAATTTAGAACTAATATAAAATCCATGTAGTTGTCCGTATAATGCTGGTTTTTACCCAAAAGGAATAGCTGGAGAATGAATACATTATTTTAATTTGAAGCCAGTAAATGTGCATCTCAAAGTAAAAAGATGAGTCTGGTTTTTTGAAGAGTAGTGTTGTTTCACTGTCTGTAAGATTTGAGTTCTCCTCTCCAACTCTTCCTGTTTCCACAATGATAGTCGATCATTTCTGCTCTTGAGAATAGCAGGGATGAACTGAATAGCTCACTTGATTTTCATGATGGCAACTGCAATGACACAAGTTACTGAGCACCCATCTAAAAGCACAATTTACACTAATTTTTTTTAAGATTTGATTTTTTTAAATGTTTCGTTTATCTAGTACAAATCCCTCTCTGTGTGCTCTTCTCTTCTAGCTTCTTAGTGCAAGTGTGTTTGTTATCAAGCAAAGACAAATACATGTTTGTTTGGGTACATTCACGTGACTTTTGCACTAGTAGTTTAACACCTTGCTCGTCATATAGAGGTGTACGTTTACTTTAAAAAGCTTTTGCTGTTTAGATGGTAAAACTTTCCACGTTGGTGGGCTTTAAATTTTGTCCAGATGGACAAAAGGCACCTACGTTCCCATCAGATTGAGAAGAACTTGGCTCCTTGTTTTCAGCCAGCAGCGTAACACACAAATCAGTGCACCACATATTCACATCTTTCACTGCTGTCCCAAGCTCCTTCTCCTTAATAATCACTGTAATCTATACTGTAAAACTGTGGCCCACATGTTGGCAGCATTTATATTCCTAAAGATCTGGTAATACTGATTACTGACTTACTCCCCTTCTTTTACAGGGTAAAGTTGTGGAACGTGGTAGACATGCAGACCTCCTTGCAAGTCCTAACAATCTCTATTACGAAATGTGGCATACACAGAGCAGCAAAGTACTAAATAGTCAAAACAATCGAAATTGGGAAGAGAGAAATAATCGGATGTCCAAAGAGGAGGAAAGGAAGAAACTAGAAGAAGAAATTACCAATAGTGTGAAAGGCTGTGGAAACTGTTCGTGCTAAGTATGATCCTGGATTAATCTTCTCTAAACAGGTTAAAAATGCACAAGATTACAATGAAGTGCAGCTCTTGTTTCTAAGTCAGCGTTCAAAAACTTCCTGGGTTTTGGGGTTTTACAGTATCTCAGAGGGACGTAATTTCAACCAAAGGAGTTCTATTTTTACATCTTTAGAAATCTCTAACATTCAGTGGCATCTGCAAGAGCTGAGCTTTTTCAAAAACTTTAAACTTCTCAAGAGTGTAATTTATGGCAATTTTTAGGCATTGATAAATTCTCCTGGTAGTTGCTTGAGGTGGATTATTAAATTGTAAACAGATTTGTCCTTGATTTACATTATTTTTCATCATTAATCGTCGATAAATATGTCATGTTTTAATTGTAATTGGGCTAATTTGAACTCATTTGCTAGTGAGGAAGATGCAATTTAAATTGTTCAGCGCTGTTCTGGTTTCAAATGTTCTTCCTTGTAAAGAAAAAGAAAAGTCTCAACAAAATATTAGAGGCTTCTAATAGCAAACTCAATATTGGAATTATCCATCTCACCCTTCAAAAACACCTTTCACAGTGGACTATCAGGAAATATATTGGTATTCTGAAAGAAAACAAACAGTATTTTTAAGAGCTGGCAAAAATCTGGACTTGACAAAGTATAGTGTGACTTTGCAGAAAACAAAGTGTTGTATGTAAATTTGAAGAATCAGAGGTTTTCCTTAAATGAAAGAATCCGAGTTGAGGATTGTGTATCTTCAACATCTGCTGTAGTAGTCAAAGCGGAACGCAGTCACTTTTTCTATTTCAGTTGTGGTCTTAGGGAGCAATTAAGATTCAATAAAGACTTCCATAAATTTCTATTATGTCATTAATGTACGAGAAAATGACCTGGATAATGTTGAAAGCGTTGCTATAATAATCTCCTCATTTCAATAGTCAAAACTTCTTCAGTGTCAAGAAACCTCTGTCTGTGAGATTTGCAGGACCCTACAGGTGTATTGGGTTTGCACGGCCAGGTTTTGGTAGCAGGGGCGGCTGCGGTGAGACCCTGCCAGAAGTTTCTGCCATGTCCGACAGAGCCAGTGCCGGTGGCTCCAAGACGGACCTGCTACTGGCCAAGGCTGAGCCCGTAAGCGATGTTGGTAGCCCCTCTGGGATAACATAATTAAGAAGGGGGACAAACCTGCTGTGCAACAATAGCTGGGAGAGAGGAGTGAGAATATGCAAGAGGAACAAATCCGCAGGCACCAAGGTCAGTGAAGGAGGGGAGAAGGTGCTCCAGGTGCCAGAGCTGAGATTCCCCTGCAGCCCACGGAGAAGACCATGGTGAGGCAGGTTGTCCCCCTGCAGCCCATGAAGGATGATGGTGGAGCAGATATCCTCTGGCAGCCTGTAGAGGACCCCATGCTGGAGCAGGGGGGTGCCTGAAGGAGGCTGTGACCCCGTGGGAAGCCCGCACTGGAGCGAGCTCCTGGCAGGACCCTTGGACTCATGCGGAGAGGAGCC